GAGGAGGGAGGAGGGAGGAGGGAGGAGGGAGGATGAGGGAGGGAGGAGGGAGGATGAGGGAGGGAGGGAGGGAGGGAGGACGGCACGCTGTGCGGAAAGCCCCTCGACCCACACGGGTTCCATGCCAAGTCATGCGAGGTGGGCCAATCCTGCGCCGCCCGGCACGACCGCCTCCGTGACCGACATGCATAAGGATATCACTGTTCATGCTGCTCCGACGGAACAGCACGTTTTAGCGTGGGATCGCCGCCATCCCCGCACCGCGGTCCTCCAGGAAGCAAGGTTGGACATCCGGACGCACGACCCCAGCACTGGTCGACCCATCTTTGTCGATTTGGCGGTGACCTGCGTACACTCCACCTACGCCCCACGCAGGCGCGCCCGAGCCGAATGAGATGGACTCGCAGCAGCCCAGATGGTCGACGACAAACGCGGTCGGTACCCCCCCCGGGAGGGCCTAGACCTCGTCCCGATGGTCTTCGAGACCGGGGGGCGGCCGTCCGACGAGGCCGTAAGCCTCGTTCGGAGCTACGGCGCCTCTCTTGAGGATGCCGACCAGTCCGAACTCTTAAGCCGGATCTGGCGGGAAACCTCACGCACCTTACAAGAAGGGAGCGCGGAGATGATCCTGAGCGCCTTGGGGAAATAGGCGTCGACCACCACCACCACCACCACCACCACCACCACCACGTGACCAATCACCAGCACGACCACTACCAGCCCGGCCGAATTTCATGACCACCGCCGCCAGTATGGCCACCACAGCCGCAAGCTGACTGACTACCAGTATCACCACCACCAGCACGACCACTATAGCAGTACCAGCCACCACGACCACCACCATCACGGCCACCACGACCACCACCAGCACGACCACCACGACCACCTCGATCACCACCAACGCGACCACCACGACCGCGCCGACGACCTCCTCCGCCCCCGCCCCCTCTCCCTTCCCCCTCCCTCCCCGTCCCCTGCCGGGCTGCCCCTGCCGCTGCGCCTTTTGCGCGGCCGTCCCCTCCTTTTGCTCCCCCTCCCGCCCCTTCGCCTCCCCCTCCTTCTCCTCAATTCATGTGGGGCCCCTCGCCGAATGCGGCGGGCGCGAGGGAGCGATCGGATCGACCATTCCGGCCGCCCCCGGGGTCTCGTTCGCGGGTGCCAGTCCCCTCTGGGAGCCTCCGGGGCCGTGGCGGAGGGAGGGAGGGAGGGAGGGAGGGGAGGAGGGAGGGAGGAGGGGAGGGAGGAGGAGGAGAGGAGGAGGAGGGAGGAGGAGGAGGAGGAGGAGGAGGAGGAGGAGGTGGAGGAGGAGGAGGAGGAGGAGGAGGAGGAGGGGGGCGGATGAGGGAGGAGGGAGGAGGAGGAGGAGGAGGAGGGAGGAGGAGGAGGAGGGCGGATGAGGAGGAGGAGGAGGAGGAGGAGGAGGAGGAGGAGGAGGAGGAGGAGGAGGTACGTAGGGGAGCCTCACTTCCAGCGCTCAGGTGTTCGATCCTGGCCCTCTTTCAGATGCAGCCACCTGGCCCTCGCGCCAGAGACCGCCGAGGGCCACGGAACACCGCCGAAGGCCGACGGGTAATTGGGGATCCGTGGTCGAATGCGAGACTAGGAGTCCAGATGTTGTATTGCAGGCTACGTGGATCCGTCCCCTTATTCAATAAGTCCAAGTCTGGCGATCTCTATAGTTCTAGAGCGCGGGGGCGAGGCTTTGGCGCTGTTCGGTTTTATTCGATGATAAGATCGCCATGTAAAAGGCTTAAACATATTGGCTTTTCAGAATACGCATAGATTGTTTACCCAGCTGAGTGACACATTCAGCCCGAATGATGAACGCTTGTTCGCAACGGAAGGCTCTGGGGGCTTCCGAGGGAACGAGTCCTTGAGGTGTTTCTTGCAGGGCCCTTCCCATGCCCCAAGCCCTTCCCAGGTCCCAAGTTCTTCAAATTTTCCGGGCGAAGGACCCAACCAAATGCAGTTGTGAATGCCGTCGTTGCGGGTGTCGCCTTCGGTGGGGTTCCTCATGGGGCCATGAAGCATGCGAAGGGTGTGCCGTTATGAGTCGGGGCCGCCATGTGTTCGCTGCCAGTGGGGCTTTAGGTGGAACTCATTATGGTGCCGCGAAACATGTGAAAAGGGTGCGCCACAATGGGGCGGGGCCACCACTGGAACTCCCCATGGGGCCACGAAACGCTACTCTGGGTGGGGGAAACGCATGCGAACATCGCCACCGGGGTTTTCGGTGACGCCCCCATATGGGGCCACGAAGCGATCGGTGGAGCTCCCTACGGGGCCATGAAGCGCTGTACTGGCTGGGGGAAACGCTTGCGAACACCGCCACCGGGGCCGTTGAGTCAGGAAACGCTGAGTCAGGAAACGCTTTACTGCGCGGGGGAACTGCATGCGAACACCGCCACCGGGGCCTTCGGTTGAGCCTCCTATGGGGCCACGAAGCGTTGCACTGAGTGGGGGGAGACTCTTGCGAACACCGCCACTGGGGCCTTCTGTGGAGTTCCCTATGGGGCCACGAAGCGCTGTACTGGGGGGGGAGGGGAAACGCATGCGAACACCGCCACTGGGGCCTTCGGTGGAGCCCTCCTACGGGGCCACGAAGCGGTGTACTGAGTGGGGGAGACGCATATGGGGCCACGAAGCGGTGTATTGGGCGGGGGGAACGCATGAGAAACACCGCCACTGGGCTGGGGCCTTCGGTTGAACTTCCCATTTGGCTTCGAAGCGCTGTACTAGGCGGGGCGAACGCCTGCGAACACCGCCACTGGGGCCTTCGGTGGAACTGGCCGCGAAACGTTGCATTGGGTGGGGGGAAACGCATGCGAACACCGCCATTGGGGCCTCCTGTGGAGCTGCCCATGGGGCCACGAAGCGTTGTACTGGGCGGGGGGAACGCATGCGAACCACCGCCGCTTGGCTGGGGCCTTTTGTGGATCTCCCCAGTGGGTCACGAAGCGCTGTAGTGGGCGGGGGGAGCGCCTGCGAACGCTGCCATTTGGGCCTTCGGTGGAGCTCCCTGTGGGGCCATGAAGCGCTGTATTGGTTGGGGGAACATGCGAACACCGCCACTGGCGCCTTCGGTGAAGCTCCCTATGGGGCCACGAAGCGCTGTACTGGCTGGGGGAAACGCATGCGACCACTGTCACTGGCGCCTTCGGTGGAGCTCCCGATGTGGCCACGAAATGTTGTTCTAGAGGGGGGAAACGCATGCGAACACTGCCGCTGAGGCTTTCGGTGGAGCTTCCTATGGGGGCACGAAACGTGAAGGGTGTGCCAAAGTGGAGGGGGGCGGCGTGCGAACCAGGCCACGGGGGCCTTCGGTGAAGCTCCCTTTGGTGCCACACAGCGTGTGAGGGGTGTTCTAAAGTGGGGGGGGGCGGCGGCATGCGAGCCATGCCATTGGAACCTTCGGTGGAGCTATGGGGCCACGAAACGTGTGAGGGGTGTGCCAAAGTGGAGAGGGGGGCGGCATGCGAACCATGCCACCTTCGGTCGAGCTCCCTATGGGGCTACGAAACGTGTGAGGGGTGTGCCAAAGTGAGGGGGGTGACGGGAATACCGAACTGGTTGACATGCGGAGGGCAGAGGCAAGGGTGGGAGGAGGGAGAAGCGGGCGGAGGAGGAGAGAATAGGAGACGCGGGGAACCGTCTCTTCAACACGAGGACCCAACACCACAGGATGGTCTGGAAAAAAAGTCTTGGTACAAGCCCCGGGGTCGAGGACCCGTTTCCCTCAGGACCCCGTCCCTCGTCGTCGTCGTCGTCGTCGTCGTCGTCGTCGTCGTCGTCGTCGTCGTCGTCGCCCTCTCTCTTCTCCTGTCCCGTCCTGTGCACGGATACTGCGACGCTGCATTTCCAGCTCCAGTTGTGGACGCATTACATTGCGAGTTGCGACAGAGTGTGCCACCGGGGCAACTGACGACAGGACGTTGCGGGCCGAGGGCGGCAGCAGGGCAGTATTCTGTCTGGTCTCCTTGTCCCCTCTCCTTTCTCATCCGTCATCCGCCTCCCGTCCTTCCTCTTCTCTCCCCTTCCGAGTCTGGAGCGATCCTTTGCGTGCTCCTATAAAAGGTTGGCAGAGCACACAACGCGTTTGTCTTTTCCCCCCTCTCCTCCTTCTCCTTTTCCTCTTCTTATTCCACCCCCACTCTGCACGAAGATGTGGCCCGAGGTTCGGCCACCTTCGCAGGACAGCCCTGCTACCTAGCCGGATGCTTGCTGATCTTTGGCACGACGTTTGGGTTCATGCCGCCCGTTCTCTCAGTAGATTCCCCCCAGGGCCCTTTTCCCTTCATGGCAACGACGGTTCCTTGCAGCCCGCGCTGCGGGGCTCCCTGCGACGCAGCGCCTTCCTGCAGCGCAGACTCACGGCACCGTGGGGAGTCTCCATGGTGCTCGCCGTCTCTCCCGGCGCTCCGCTATTCCCCTCGCAGTGGAGCTGGCTCCAGAGCGGTGCCTCTCTGGCGCGAGCTCACAGCCGGGCTGGCGAGCAGCCCAGCCATCGCGGCAGCGCACACCCAATCCAGCAGGCTCGCGCCGCTCTGGCGCGCTGGCGACGACGGCGCGACGTGCGCGGTCGAGCGGCCCCGAGACCCACACAAAGCAGCACACGGCGAGGACACTGTGCCCGACAGCCTCCCCGACAGCCTCTTGGGACCTCTGTGAGTGGAGATTTGTCCAAGATGGAACGGTTCACGCGGTGACGGAAAGCAGATCTTGCGTAGTCAAGGCAGGAAGTGGCCGTAGGTTTGCAGCGGCGTCTTTGGCA